CTTTTATGCACATTTAATTGGACCCTTAATAGCTTTTCCCGGGGTTCTGTCGAGGACGAATCGTAATTGAAAATCTACCATTGATTGAGCCCAAAACAGGACCGTTTATTTTTTATTCATTAACTAATATTTCGGACGTTTGATGGGTTTTAAGCGTTAATAAATGTCAAGAATAAATAACACGGGGACACGCAATTAGAATAGACGGCGTTGGCGACTTGGGTGATATAAAAGATAGGTACAAGTTTGACAAGGTTAACATATCCCATGAATAATTTCGCTTGACATTACATGCGTACAGCGCTTAAAACTTTCGATGCAATTATCCATTCCGGGTCATGGTGTGCGTATACGAGTAAAGAAAATATTTTATGCATGTAATTTTTCCATAAAACAGAAAAAAAAAATGGTCGTGAGCTTGGAAATGAAAATCCAAAGGTCAGTTTATAATATTATCATAGTAATAAAAAAAAAGAAATGTTTTAGGGCATTGCGCAGGAAGCGAACATAACTTTGGATAACAATATGATACATACGTAATTTTGTTACGTAATATTTTACGTATGATTGTGTTTACACATGTTAATGTTATGAAACGAATTCGTGTGTTTATGTCGAATTTAACTAAAACGCGTAGAAGATTACAATATTATATTGAATAATATACTACTCATACCGATGGCCTCGGAAGCCGATGAATTTTTTAGATCCACGAAAGAAAAAGATTATACAATATACTACAACACGATAGCAACAGGTTTTGGTACGACGGCCGTAGGTATACTATACGATAAATTATGTATACGATAAAATGTTAAAAATTTAAGTAAAACAATTACGAATCATTTACGATAAATTTGTTTTTAAATAGAAAATCAATCAACAATGATAGCAAGTGTAATAGGTACGTATATTGAATTGTACTTAAACACAATATACTTTTACGACGTTAAACGATTGCGATGACCTATATCGAGAAAAAAAATGAACAAAAAATGAGATAAGGCGTATTATATGACCCACGTTAACCCCGAACACTACCCGTGTAATGCAATCTAAACAAATGTTTAGCTGACTTGGCGCAAAGGGACTACTTATTAAAAATGTCTTGCGCGTTGAAGCTAAACCATGCAGAGCCGTCGTAAGGACTCGGCTGGGTGGCCGCTAGGGATTTTCAGCACAGTTCGTTTTTCATCCATTCCAACACTTTCAACAGGAAATATACGTCTTATTGTGGACCAAGTGAAAACTGCAGAGCAGTGAAATATATATAAACACATTTTTAAAGTGTCTACATTTTATTTTTATTTTCGTGACAAAATAATAAGTACCGTACAATATGATGATGCAATATAAATCAGAGAGGAAAATTAATTTTATTTGGATCATCGTAATAATAATGTTTTGTATTGTTTGTTATGACAGGATAAACATCAATAATGTGTTTTTGGATGTTTTCTGAATACGTGCCTTCTCGGTGTATTTTGGCTTTTAAATATTTTTTTTATTTTAAAAATCCTTATTTGTCAAAATGCATTTACCTCTAGAATATTATTCATAACAAATTGTACAATTGATGACGGTGTATCTCAATTTAAATATTATTTTGACGTCATGTAACGGGGTATTGTCCATTACTTGGAAAATCGTAAATTGTTAATAATTCCATTGTTACCGAGGTATATAACTACAATATTGCAGTTTAAGTACGACACAACTACTACTTTTTATGCTATCTCCTGAAAATACTGTCATTATTAAGCCGTAGTCGAAGTATTATTTTGACTATATACTATTATTTTATGAAAACTATTGTTTAAGGATCAGGTACATTTTGCTTCACTAAATGAAGATTAATTAACAATCAAGTCAACTTCTTAAAACGTGTACTATGTAGTACTATTATATGTGATAATTTACAAAAAAATATTCTATTTTATTCCATAAATTATGTATATTTTTTAAAAAAGAACTGCTAGGATTAATAAGCTAATACTCTCAGGAAAATGATTGATTTGAGAATTTAATTTAAATACTCGATAAGTGTTAACATATTTTGTTACTAAAATATTTTGATGTAGGTAAAAATATTTTGATGTAGGTATTATAGTGCTATTAACAAAACTTAAATTATTTTCTTTGTTTAGTTAACCATTGATTAAATTATCAACAACAATATAGTCTGTAGAATCGTTATCATAGTATTTCAATATTCGAAATAACAATTTTATCCAATTTATTTGCTTTATAATTTGTTAATAATTATATGCTAGCTGGTAAAACGCACTCATACAGAACATAATGAATTGCATACAAATTAGTTTTTGGAAAGCTTGATAAATTAATTTGTAATTATAGTACACGAATGAATAAAAAAAAAAACAAATAATAAAAACAAATTAATATGAATTTTAAAACGTATTTAAATCTAGACAATTTGAACATCGGAAGATTAATTATTATTTTGCTCGGCATAAGTAATCAGCTCATTTAAAACATGAATAAAATCAATTTCGTTCGCGTCTTTCATTTGTACTATATTGTTAGGGGTATGTTGGTAGACTCGATACTCCCAGACTTGGGGGCGAGGGAAAAACAAGTTTCTGGTGTTCGACAAAGAGTTAGTAATCGAGACGGGGTGTCATAATAACATTTTTTTATCTCGCACGCACACAGAACATGGCGTGCACAGACCAAACAACCCCAAGCCCTGTACACTTATTATATTATATCTGTCTGGTCTGGATTATTCAACGTTATCAGTCGTATATGACGTGTGGAAATATTATTGTTCATTATTTTTATGTATACAAAAAAACCAGTGTCTTACACCTAAAAAATTAATAATGTGCTGTGCAAAAATGTAAGTTCTACATTGAGGTGGTTGTAAAACCAATAAACATCACGGATTTCAAATAAAACTTAACGAATTCACTCTTTGCCGTGGCGCTGAGCCGGTTTTGAACAGTTAGCTGCAATTTAATTATTCTATAAGCACCCATACTCACTGGTCCATACTGTACTTACCACAGAACCCTTATTTTATCAAAACAAGAATTCTTTCGAAGTCAAAAATACTATAATAATATTTTTTTTCCACGAATAAAACACGAAAAACCAACTCGATTTGTACACATCTATGGGTGCAAGGTCTCTCCCCCCCCCCCCAAAATGCACCGCCAACTACATCATACGGCACCTACCTATATACTCGGCTATTCTAACGAACCGTCGTCGACTTGCGCACTGCCTCTTTACAACCCTCAAGAGTTCGAGTGTATAGTTGATTGGTGCATAACAATATAACATAATATAGTTAAACATAACAAACGTACTCACAAAGGTGGTCATTAACTAGTTAAACAGTTAAAGCTAAAGTAAATAGTTAGTTAATTCTATAATTAACTTAATGCCTTATCTCGTTAAAGAATCCATTGTAGTAACTTTGCTTTTACCGAATGATTGAAAAAAATTATAGCTTAATTTCAAACCACGTTTAATTAGTTAATGAATTTTTGTTTTGTATAATCACGCTGCACACAGTTATTTTAAATACAAATAAATATTCTTTGGTTTATTGATTATTTGTTCGACTCAAACGTTTCAACCGCTACATATAGCGTGCAATAAAAAAAAAAAAGTAGGTTTTAACTTGTACCAATAAGATGATGTATATCTAACAATTGCTGCAAATATTTTGATATTATTTAAACAACTGATTGTTGCACAATACGTGTGAGCTGTGTGGTAATTAAAAAATAATAGCTTAATAAATTATTTTTAACAGATTTAAGTTAATATTATATTCCACAATACTGATTTTAAAAATTCAAAGTTAAATTTCAAATTGTTTGCTGACTTATAGATTAACGTTCCTAACGTTGACCTAACTTAGTTAACCAAAGTAATTTTTGTTTTATTAACTTGCTCGCCGCAACCTTTTCAGTTCCACTAAAATCCAATCAAGTCTTAGTTATACATTATTTATTCCTAAATATATATATAGAATGTTTCTATGTTTGTTCTCTGTAGACTCAAATACTGGGCCGTTTTGAATATAACTTATATCATAGATTTCGAATATGAGACTCGAAGGGTGCTTATAATTTTTCAACCTAAGGTTGCTTTAGGGTGGTTTACACATGAATTTTGTTTCGGAAAATATTAATTTGCCACGGTTTAGTATTACATAATAACTGGAAATATGGCATACAGACATTTTTAGGAATACATGTAAAAAAAAAATCTCAAAAATACCTACCTGTATGATTTGCTTCTCAATCCTGGACATATTTTTTATACAAACCAATAAAGACGAGTTATTATTGTTGCCAATATCTTAACATTTACCGTATTCACTTACGCCGGCTTTAAATTGTTCGCCGAATCCGTTTCCGTTTTTTTGCCCTCGCATCAAAGAATATGTCCAGAATAATTGAGACCTAACCTAACCTAACCTAACCGTTAAACACATAGTGGAGGAATGCGCACTGTACGCCTCAATACGCACCGACCTAAAGATGCCAACCAATGTTGCAGAGGCACTCGATGAACATAACACGTCAAAAATCATTAAATTCCTAAGCATTACTAATATTATTAAAAAATTGTAAACTCTGTAAATAACAACTGTAAAGAAACTAATGTGACATAAATGTACACCTAATTTTAAGAAACATTTATGTAACCTTTTCAGGCTAATAACCTTTGATGTTGAAGCCTTAAATAATAATAAAAAAAAAAAAAAAATTGAGAAGTGTCAAATCATAAAATTAATCATTGCACTCAACTGTATTTGTAAATATACCTGCCATAAGTTTTCAATCGAAGCAAGCGGGAAACCCGTAGCCGTAATAGATTAGTGGGAGGGATTAGCAATTTCAACCTGAGCGAAGTCAGGTAGTACATATTGTATTATGCATAATATTATTCAGGCATGTTTTCGACCGGAGACGTGGTAAAACCACACGCATAAGTCTGTTGTCAGCGGAGCGACTTACCTGCAAAAGATCCGTGCACTGGACATCGGCGAACTCTGGCGAGGCGTAGATTTTCATTTCTTGTATGGCCCCCTTAAACGACAGAACAAAAACCCACGTGAGCAACGTGTTCATGGTAAATGATGGTATTAGACAATAATGTATATTATATTATGACGACGTTATGATATGTCGTATTGATTTTCGCGAGATATTAAATCGGTACGGCGGCGGCGGCGGCGGCGGCGACAGTAAAATAAAAAAAAATTAAAAAAAACAATACAATAACATGATTGAGCACAGGGAAATATTACACAATATATATATGTATATAATATTGTTATACCGCTATTATCATCCGTTCGTCCGTCGGAAGGCACGAGCGGCTGACCATCTGCGCACCACCGACGACGACTGTCGCGACTACGACTGTCGAGACGAAGATCGTCTGGATCATCCGCCGCCGCCGCCGCCGCTGCTTCCACGTGCTCGTGTTTCGGGGATCTAGGGGGACAGTGGCGTGGGTGTGCCGGGAGTTCCTAAAATAACGCTCGTCCGCGCCCAACCATAGCTGTGATATCGCGACGAGTATATTATGTGCACAAAAGTATTATTTTGTCGACGAAAACCGGAGGGTATAGGTCGTATTACGCACGACAATAATGCGATTATTACATTGTATTTTTGTATTCGTCCGCAAAAGTCTGACGGTTCGAACGCTTCGCCGCCCGCGAACGGCAGACGAGTGATCGCGACGGCACGGCATATCGTCCATATATTTTACCATCGCCTTTGTCGACATTTTCGAGACATTTTTTTTTTTCACATATCGCAATCGGTGGTACCCATAATGGCTATAACGACCGCAATCGATAACACATCGTATGCATGTTCTGTTTTTAATCGATATCGATTTGGTGATATCATCAGGTATCGATGTCGTTCGGGATGTGAAATTATGTTTTTGTTCGCGAAAAAAAAATACAATGGTCGATTCTATAATTCGCACGTGTTTATCGCGTCATGATCAAATTATGACGTATTAAAACAAAATATTATCATGTTTTTATTTGTCGCGATAAATATTACGGCAATAATAGTAATTAATATTACATCTACAAGCGAGCAACCGTACTCTGACTGCTGTGTTCGGACATTAACGAGATAATATAATATATTTTAATTGCATTACATTACAGCGGGGCTACTGAGTATAATAAAATATGAGCACTGTCCGTGTAGTTTGAATATTTTAATGAAATCCCCCGTAAAATGAATAATATAATAAAAGGTAAAAAACCGGTTTGGGTCATTGTCATTTCAAAATCAACCAAACTGGGTACTTTAAATTATGATTTACTGCTTTTTTAATAATTACAATGAACTAAAACCCTGAATGACAATGTTTCGTTTCAACAAATAACGAGCCTGTAGTTTTTCAATTTTTGGAATACGTTTTCATGATTATTTTAAAACCTGTTATAATCAAGACTTCAAAAAATGTAACCCTATGGGTAGTAATGGTTGGTACTATAAAATGGGTTCATAAATTCCAAACATAATCATATCCGAGTAATAATGTAAAATTCCATTCATATAGTTTAATTCCTCTATATATTTCAATGAAAATAAAAAAATAAAAACTAATCATGTGCTATAGAACATTGGAAATTTTAATGAAACAAAGTTGAAAATTGTAAAATAATAATTATTATTAAATGTTGTCCATACGTTATACAATTATTTAATCGCGTTTAACCAAAAACAATAGGTACCTAATTTAAACTTTCAACCAACGAAAACAAATTTAAGCAACTTTGAGTAGAATATTATTATCTCAAGCCTTAAAACAGCAATATAACGTTATGAAATAATAATTTTTTTCAAATTAAGTATCGAAAACTATAGTAATTTTGTTAACTTGAAAACTTAGTTGAACTCTTCATACCAGAAACTGCACTTCTCGCTCAGTGAAATTTATTTTTAATTTTTAAGTAGTATTTTCATTATTTACGTTCATTAATGAACTCAAAATAAACTCACATCTAAGAATCTAACTCGACGTTCTTAAATCAGTGTAGTTATTTTGATTTTCTAGTACAAATTAATTCAAACATTTTTAATTAGTTTACGTATATCTCGAAAACATCAAATCGGTATGAAATTGTTATTTTAAGTCTGGCAGTACCCAAAAACAATAATGTATTTAATATTGTTGTTTTCTATTAAAATATTACATAAGTTTACAATCGAGTACAGTCAAGCTGTGTATAATACATTAACTTATTAAAACGTAATGATGTCATAAAATGTAAAATACATTATTTCAACTAACTTGGAGATTTTATTAAGTAATAAACAAGTTTTGCATCAAATGTAAATACCAATATTATAAAACTGGGGAAACCAACATCTAAAACATCTACAAAATGTATATAAATGTATCCAATACTAATTAATAAATAATTTGTTTTTCTTTTGTTGATCACAAGCTATAACTTAAAATTTAAGCTGCTTATGCAACTACGAGAGAATAATAATTATGACAAACCGTCGTGATTTTCTTTTGTCGAAACTAAAATACATCGTAATTTATTTTTGGTTCGTTATAGATGGAGTTAAACCGAATAGCAACTTGAATAACAATAATTTAGGAGACACGTATACCAAACAAGACGTAACGTCGTCATGTCAAACACAAAATCCGTCAATATCAATTGATGAAAAGCTCGGAGACTTACATTTTGGGTCACTGCAGCTAAACTACTATGAACAGTGAGATACTATAATTATTATTATGTATTGTATATATAATTTCGCTAAATGTTTAATAGTATATTGAATACGTTATACGATTTATATTGACTAAAACTCGTCGTACTAATGTAATGCAAAAATAATGCATACAGGTGATTACCTACCGGTCGTCTAACCGATAGAGAAAGATTTGAACATGGTGAGTTTATGACAGTATTGGACAAATAACCCAATAATATTATAGAAGTTTATTTATAATAAATACCATTTAAAATTCATAAGGTTTTCAAAAATTGAACTATGCATTATGTTCAAAATTTGCCGAAAAAAAAGTTGTTCCATTTTATCCAGAATAATCCGCACCGTACACGTGTCTGACATATCATATCGATTTGTACTCAAGAGTCAAGGAAAAAACATGCAAACGCGTAGAAATCTTAGCCCTACGTAGACGTCGTATGACTTACTGTGCAGAACAGGTAAACGCGCGGACAGCAATACCGATGAACAGTTATTAGTTGAAAAAAAAAACTGAACACAAAATGAAACTACAAAACGAAATAAAAATCCGCGTAAAATGTTTCGGATACATTTTCACGTGCAGTATGGCCGCACGGCGAACCGTCATTCGACACATTCGGCCCGGTAATAATTAACCTCGAGTTTGACATGCCCAAAAACGTCCGAAATCAAACGAGCGACGTATCAAAACATATTGCTTTACACGTCCGACCGTCGGCCGAGGGGGGGGGGGGAGGGGGGCTTTCTGTCCTCCTCGAGTTTTCGCCCCATCGCATGCGGTCGGGCGTGTATTCGCGTCGCATTATTATGCATTATCACACTACCCATTCGTCCTCCGTCCCCGCGCCGTTCTGAGTGATGTTTAATTTTTTTTTTTTTTTTTTGTCAAGCCAATTTCTTCTTCGAGCGCTCACACACACACGCGCACGCGCACCAGTACAAAACACACGGCGAGTGTCGTTTGTCATTCGGGTCTCGCGTTTCCAAAGTGACTGAGCGCACTGTACACGCACACATAATATGCACGATATTCCGTCGCGTTTTGTATTTCACTTTATTATTCTCTTCTCTCGTCCATACGATCGTAGTTGGCGGCATTGCACAGGTGAAACGTACTCGCGATGTGCACACTCCGGAGTCATCATCGCACGCCGGACCCGCGAATCGATCTACGAAACGTGCATCGTCGACGAACTACGCAGTCGTGTACGGCCATTCTTTCTTTTCCGATATCATGCTTTCCTCGAACTCGTTTTTTACACACCTATAATTATCTGCGTGACGACGACGTGGCGTATTTTTTTAATCGGTGCACTCGAATAATAATTGGAGATCCCTTGTTATCGCATGGCACTGTCCCGTATTTGAACGAAGCGTCCGGGTGGACGACCCGACAACAGGTATAAACCATAACACTTTTGTCCAGTATTTTGGATAACCTCAATGTTCCATATAACCTTATTTTAAAACTGTTTCAAAATTAAATCTCCGCTTGCCGTTTGGAAGATTTAAAATTTAACTGGCGATTGATAAATGATAATATCTAAATCGCAAATCCTTTCCGTTTGTTTACATTTGTTTCGAGTATAGGCACCTATTGAACATTGTGATTTTTTTTTTAAAGCGAGAAAAAAAGAAATGTAACATCGAGACTAAATATGATTTTAGTTACCAAACGTTTAGTAAGAATTTGTAAAAGATATATCAAATATTTAATTTTGTAATATATATTAATTGTAAGGTCCTAATATCCAGTGTTTCAATATTTGTTCAGGTACAAAAAATCTGCTACAGTGCTGCTATTATTTAAAAAGTAAAAGTAAACTTTTTTACTGTGTACGGATTATAACTTTGGAATTTTGAAGGACTATGTCTTCACTCTTTTCCTCGATCAACGTCCATGTAAATTACAAGTAAGTATAGGCATTATTTAAAATTTCACGTATTCGAAAAAATTAATCTGGGATCTCTAATTTAATAACAATATTGCACCTATTTACTAGTCGAGGCGTACGGCGAGTTACTATATTGACTTCGTAAGGAAATCACACACGTCTACGTTTTTAAACATTCGCTTTTCATTCCCCCGATCGTCTACAGAACAAACAAAAGAAAAAAAGCTTTTTGGTATATTTTGAAATATTAGTTTTTTCCCGTTCCTTTCACAGAAACAAACGGTTGAAATTCCTTATTGTATGGTAGGTTCGACTTAAATGGACGTCGACCGTTTTATACATTTCTTTCAAACCGTATGTGCATTGTGCACAATACGAGGGTTATAATAAGTAATAACTATACAATAATATAGCGTACGC